GAAAATATGAATTTGATTTTATTAAATGAAAAAATAATAATAACGAAGGACGCAGCTCCAAACGGGTGCTGGAAAAGCCAACGGGAACTAAGGGCGAACTTAGACGAAGCGGAAACCGGGTCGAGGTCTAAAAATAGAAACAAACACACGGAGGTTAAACCAGGAACGAGAGAACCAGAAACAATAGAGGGAAGGGAGGTCTTACGGAGCCAGAACAGTGGATGAATGTGGGGAGAGGGTAGGTCAGGTCTGGTTGATGGAGAATTAGGTTGAGGCTGGATGGATGCGGTTGATGAATATCCAGAGCAGGTGAACGGCGGAGAGCAGATGACCAGGGAAGAATGAGTGGCGAGGCTGAGGTACACACTCCAGGACAGAAGAGAACTCAGGCTGAGACTTGGTAGTAGAACTGGGGAAGGCAGGACAGGTAATTAAACAGGACAAGCAGAGCAAGATTGCAAAAATTGTACAATTTCAGGACAAGGCTGGAAGCTACCCAGGTGAGAGTATCAACCGGCGCTGGAGTGTGGACACGCCACTCCTTAAATCCCCTGGCCTTGCTGATGGGAAATCAGCAGCAGCTGAGGCTCTCCGACACGCCCACCTGCAATTAGACTCAGAGGGAAAAACAGCAGACTCATGACAGTACCCCCCCCCCCTCAAGGGACGCCACCCGGCGGCCTAGCCGAGGAGGAGGAGGACTCAAAGTCCCGGATGAGGGAAACGTCGTCAATCCAGGAGCCGGGGACCCACTGGCGATGTTCCGGACCGTAACCCTCCCAGTCGACAAGGTACTGGCGACCACGACCCCGGGGGCGAACATCCAATATACGGCGGACCCGGTAACCAAGGCCACCATCCGCGAGCCGAACCGGAGGGGGAGGATCAGAAGGAGGACACAAGGGACTGGAGACAACGGGCTTGATGAGGGAAACATGGAACACGGGGTGAACCTTCATGGACGGAGGCAGGGACAGACGCACAGAGACAGGACTAAGGACATCGGAGACAGTGTAGGGACCAATGAATCGGGGCGTGAGCTTCCTGCTTGAGTCCTTGAGCCTGATGTCCCGGGCGGACAGCCAGACCTGCTGACCTGGGACATAGGACACTGCCGGACGTCTGTGTCGATCAGCGAGCCGACGATTGCGGTCAGCAGTACGCTGTAGGGCAGCACGGGTCAGGGTCCAGGTGCGTCGAGCTCTGCGGATGAACTGGGAAGCCGTGACTGGGGAACCAGAATCAGAGGGGAACAGAGGAGGCTGATAACCGAGTGAAATCTCAAAAGGGGACTGACCTGTAGCGGAGGATGTGTGTGAGTTGTGGGCATATTCCATCCACGACAGCTGAGAGCTCCATCCAGTGGGGTTAGAGGAACAGACGCACCGGAGCATGGCCCCCAGCTCCTGGTTCATCCTTTCACACTGCCCGTTCGTCTGGGGATGAAAGCCAGAGCTGAGGGCCACACGGGCTCCAAGCTCAGATGCAAACACGCGCCAAACACGGGACACAAACTGGGGGCCACGGTCGGACAATATTTCCGAGGGAATGCCATGAAGACGGAAAACATGGTCCACAAGAAGGTTGGCGGTCTCTGTGGAGGTAGGAAGGCCAAGTAGGGGAACCAGGTGGCAGGCCTTGGAGAATCTGTCTACTATTGTGAGGATGGTGGTGAAACCTTTGGAAGGAGGCAAACCAGTAACAAAATCTAAGGCGATATGGGACCAAGGACGTGAGGGGATAGGCAAAGGACAGAGAAGACCCTGAGGAGACTGATGATCATTCTTACTCCTGGCACAAACCTGACAGGCATTTATGTATTCTTTGACGTCTCTATAAAGAGATGGCCACCAAAACTTCCTGCGGATTAGAGCCAGGGTCCTGCCGATGCCAGGGTGGATGGAAAATCTGGCAGTGTGGGCCCAATGAATCACTGAACTGCGAACAGTGGAAGGAACATAGGTCATGTTAGGAGGTCCGGTACCTGGGTCGGGGTCTGTCCGTTGAGCCTCCAAAACCTTGTTCGTAATTTCCCAGAACACCGAACCAACGATGCAGGATGACGGTAGAACAGTGGTGGGCTCTGTGTCCTTGTCTGAAGCATACTGGCGAGAGAGGGCATCCGGCTTGACATTCATGGACCCTGGTCTGTAAGAGATGACAAAATTAAATCTAGAGAAAAACAGTGACCAACGGGACTGCCGGGGATTAAGCCTTTTGGCCTCCTTGAGGTAGGCTAAGTTCTTGTGATCAGTCCAAATGATTATAGGGTGCTCTGCCCCCTCAAGCCAGTGACGCCATTCCTCCAGAGCCATTTTGATGGCCAACAATTCCCTATCGCCCACGTCATAGTTTTGTTCAGCAGGTGTTAAGCGACGGGAGAAGAAGGCGCAGGGGTGAAGAGTGTGATCAGCTGGAGAGACCTGTGAGAGGACAGCGCCCACTCCTGTATCGGAAGCATCAACCTCAAGTGTAAACTGGGAACAGGGATCTGGACGGGAAAGAACCGGAGCCTGGGTGAAGTGAGTCTTGAGAGTTCTGAAAGCTTGGTCTGCCTCCGAAGACCAGGAATAAGGACGTTTTATAGAAGTCAGCTGGGTGAGAGGTGCTGCGATCTGGCTGTAGTCCCTTATGAACCTGCGGTAGAAATTGGCGAAGCCCAGAAAACGCTGTAACTGTTTGCGTGTAGTGGGTGTTGGCCATTCATTAACAGCTTTGATCTTGTCGGGATCAGCCCTCAACCTCCCACTCTCAATCACAAAACCGAGGAACCTGACTGAAGACGAATGAAATTCACATTTCTCAGCCTTGACGAATAAACGGTTTTCGAGAAGTCTTTGTAGAACGGCCCTAACATGGTGGCGATGTTCAGAAACAGAACGTGAGAAGATGAGAATGTCATCGAGGTAGACCGTAACAAACTTATTGATGAAATCACTGAGTACCGAGTTGACTAATGACTGAAATACAGCTGGGGCATTAGTGAGGCCGAAAGGCATGACCAAGTATTCGAAGTGGCCGAGTGGGGTCTTGAAGGCGGTCTTCCATTCATCTCCCTCACGGATCCGAACCAGGTGGTAAGCGTTTCGCAGATCTAGTTTGGTGAAAACGGAGGCGTCGTTGACTGGATCGAAAGTGGATGACAGCAAGGGGAGTGGGTATCGGTTCTTAACTGTGATTTGGTTTAGAGCTCTGTAGTCAATGCAAGGACGCAGGGAACCGTCTTTCTTAGTGACAAAGAAGAACCCTGCACCCAGTGGGGACGTGGATGGTCTAATGATACCAGCGGATAGAGACTCAGAGATGTAAGTTGACATGGATTCTTGTTCTGGCTTAGAGAGGTTATACAACCTGCTGGATGGTAGTGTGGCTCCTGGCAGAAGGTCTATGCAACAGTCAAAAGGTCTGTGGGGTGGCAGGGAGGAGGCGTGGTCCTTACTGAAAACCAGTTGCAGGTCATGGTACTCGGGAGGAACTCCGGATAGATCGGGCGGTTCAGGAATGTAGTCCGTAGAGCCTCCTACAGGAATGGGTGCAGATGACAGACAGTGAGACAAGCAGAATGTACTCCATGAGGTTACCAGACCTGAGCTCCAGTTGACTTGGGGATTGTGAGTAGCAAGCCATTCGTATCCCAGGACGACTGGTGACTGTGGAGAGGGAAATGCATAGAAAGTGAGGACCTCATGGTGATTTCCAGAAACAAACAGGTTAACGGGAACAGTACGGTGTGTGATCGTGGTGAGGGAGCTTCCATCCAAAGAGGATGCTTCTAGAGGTGTAGCCAGTGGTTCAGTGGGAATCTTCAGCTGCTGTATGACCTTAAAATCCAAAAGGTTCCGTTCACAACCAGAGTCTATTAACGCCGTAGCTGCTAGAGTCTTCTGATTGTAGGAGACTGAACATGATAGGGAGACCCGGGACTTTAACTCTGAGCAGGCACCCACCAGTAATCCCAGGGCTACTGGCGGGCTCGATCTTTTGGTCGAACCGGACAGGCTTGGACCATATGACCCCTCTGACCACAATAAAGGCAGAGACCAGCAGCTCTGCGTCTCTGTTTTTCCTCAGGTGTGAGTTGAGCCCGTCCTATCTGCATGGGCTCAGTGGGCTCTGAATAAGGAGGAGTTGGAGCTAGTGGTCTGGGGCTTTGAGGTGCAGCAACAGGAGGGAACCGGGGACCGAAGGTTCTAGGTCTCTCCTTGAGGCGTCGCTCAATTCTTGTGGCTAGAGTTATGAGGGCCTCGAGGTTCTCTGGTTCCTGGCAATAAGCTAGTTGGTCTTGGATGTTATGGGTTAAGGCCTGCGAAAAAGCGGCTCTAAGGGAGGCATCGTCCAAGGTGGACACTGAAGCCATGGTGCGGAAATCTATGGCGAAATCGGTGACCGTTTGTTCACCTTGGCGTGAATTCCAAATGCGTTTTGCCAATTCCGCGGGACTTTCCGGAGTATCAAATATCTGATTGAATTCTGATAAAAAATCTGTAAGGGTACCATCTAAAAAACCAGGCTGGCGGCATCTGGCTTCAGCCCATTGAAGAGCCTTACCCCTGAGGAGACCAACAATATATGAAATCTTTATAGGATCCGAACAGAAGGTGTCGGGCGATCTGGTGAAAGCTAATTGGCAAAGGAGTGAAAAACTACGGCACTTGCCGGACTCACCGGAAAAGGTGTCTGGTGTGGGAGACTCGGTGACCCGGAAATGACCCGGAGGCGGCGGATCCGGAAGTGACGGAGGAGATGGAGCAGCGGCAGTAGCAGTAGTGGGTGGAGAAACGTGTAATTGGCGAAAAGCCGTGTCAAGCTGGAGCAGACGCTGATTAGTAATAAGTAGTTGTTCCATGACTGACTGAATTGAGTTTTCGTGCCGGGCTAACGTGTCGGATAATGGGGGCGGAAGTGATTCGCTCATGGGTTGGGACGTGTGGCCGGTTGATTCTGTCATGATCGCAGGAAGCTTCCTGACCCACATGAAAGAATCACCACAAGGCAGGAGGTAAGAAAATATGAATTTGATTTTATTAAATGAAAAAATAATAATAACGAAGGACGCAGCTCCAAACGGGTGCTGGAAAAGCCAACGGGAACTAAGGGCGAACTTAGACGAAGCGGAAACCGGGTCGAGGTCTAAAAATAGAAACAAACACACGGAGGTTAAACCAGGAACGAGAGAACCAGAAACAATAGAGGGAAGGGAGGTCTTACGGAGCCAGAACAGTGGATGAATGTGGGGAGAGGGTAGGTCAGGTCTGGTTGATGGAGAATTAGGTTGAGGCTGGATGGATGCGGTTGATGAATATCCAGAGCAGGTGAACGGCGGAGAGCAGATGACCAGGGAAGAATGAGTGGCGAGGCTGAGGTACACACTCCAGGACAGAAGAGAACTCAGGCTGAGACTTGGTAGTAGAACTGGGGAAGGCAGGACAGGTAATTAAACAGGACAAGCAGAGCAAGATTGCAAAAATTGTACAATTTCAGGACAAGGCTGGAAGCTACCCAGGTGAGAGTATCAACCGGCGCTGGAGTGTGGACACGCCACTCCTTAAATCCCCTGGCCTTGCTGATGGGAAATCAGCAGCAGCTGAGGCTCTCCGACACGCCCACCTGCAATTAGACTCAGAGGGAAAAACAGCAGACTCATGACACAGATCTCCGGTATGAATGATTGTTCAGTCTTTATATTTTATTTTTTAATTTGAACAACCCTCAACGATTTGCTAATTGTAAGATTCAGCTTCATTCCAGCATTATTTATCTTTTTACAATAAATAATTATTTTTGCTAAAACAAAAGTTTTTGGTATAGCAGTGCACGGTGTGCCAGAGAAGCACCCCATGGCAGTGTGAGGTGTGCAGGACTCTGCCTGCAGCTGGAGAGAAACTGCTTCAAGGTCTACCACATCAAATAAAAACGTCTGAAAGTTTAGAAAAATAAATGTTTTTAAATCTGCTAAAAAAGACACCAAGGTTCACACTTTTTTAAGATTAGATGCATTACAGTTCAAAGTTTAAATTGTTTGCCCAGTAATTTAGAAGTTCCTGTTCAGTAATAAATGTAAAAAATTCAAATAGGTTTTTTGCTTTTTTCACTTTTAAGCTGATTTTTAAAAGGCTTTAATAGAAATAAATTCTAAATACAAACCATACACTAAAAGCTGAGGTTGTTTTGAAAAAAGAAGAGTTACACACACTTTGCACTTTTTATTACAATTTTACAGCCATAAGATTAAAAAAATACCAGGCGGCCCTGTTATAATTATGGTCATAAGAGGGTTATTAAGACGGCGATGCACAGACAGGAAGTGACTGGTAGTCATTCCACTTCAATCCAGTTGGTGGCGGTAATGCACCAAATTGTTGTTTGCCAAGTGCCATAAGACCACAAATAATAATAAGAAGAGAGGCGGGAGCGTTCGTAACAAACTCAAAGCGATAGTCAAAACATGAAGCATGACATGGAGTTATGCTAGTGGCTCCAATAAGAGAAAGAAGCAGCTTGCTTCATAAAAGCTTTTATTTCACTTCTGAAAGTGACGTCGTTTTTCTATGTAAACATCAAAAGGAAGCAGAAAGGAAAGACTATGGAAAATGTTTCAAGGGAGGAAAACATAGACCAAAATGGAAAATAGAAGAATAAAAAAGAAAGGTAAAAGCACAGGAGCACTGACAGGAAGAAGAAAGCAGAGCAAATATTGAAGGCACTCAAAGGGAGAGAAAAACAGGAAAAAAGAGGAGGACTAATAAAAAGGGAAAATAAGTCATGTCAGAAGAGGGGATAGTTTCGCAACTCCAGTTAAAGGTAAGATTGTCGAAAATTTTGAGTAAGGGGCCCCATGTCTGTGTTCGCCTTGGGCCCCCAAATTGCTAAATCTGCCCCTGTTGACTTGTGTGCAAAATCATTTTCCATTGTTTCACTGATTGAAGGTGTTGCCTTCCTTCTTCATTCTTACATAACTACGATTAACATGGCTGGGGGTGCTTGGAGCTGGTGGTGGTCGGAGGGACCGGTGGTGCCAGTGTTCAGCAGCCTCTGCTCTGTCAGTGCACCCCAGAGAAGCCGTGGCTACATTTTAGCTCATCATCACCAGCATGTGAAGGGGTGGATTGTGTTGTGAAGCGTCTTGGGGGGTTATAAAACCCTAAGAAGGCACTATACAATTACAGGCCATCAACATTTAACAGAGTTATGAAAGCTGAGTACAATTTCACTAGGACCACAAAGGTCTGACTTCTGCCAGACTGGAACGTTTTAAGAGATTGCTTCAATGGAACTTGGCATAAAGATTGCTGAAAGATCTCAAAAAGTAACTCACCACAACCTGGTCTAAAGACATTTTAGAGCAACAAAGATCCAGAACATCAAAAACACTGCAGACTTGACTTGGTTGGAGTCAAAGGTCACAGTCAACAAATAAAGAGGCAGGACAAAAATAGAGTTCATGGGAATGTTCCGTGGCCAAAACCTCTGCTGACCACAAATAACCAACATTTTCCAACCGTCACCCTCAGGATTCTCAAGACTTTAGGGATTTTTGAGAAGTTTGTATCCTGTTGCATTTGCTGCTATATAATTTGAGAAAAGAAAATCTCACCAGCACTCAGACATAGGGGTGGTAGTGTGATGGTCTGGGGCTGCTTTGCTGTTTCAGGACGTTGGCCTCTTACAGAAAAGAAAGGATAATGTCTGACCTTTGACCTTAAACTGGACATTCATGCTGATAAACCCTCCAATGTGACTGAAATAAAACAATTATGTGAAGGAAAGTGGGACAAAGATCCCCATCAGCTATGTGAGGGACTCATTACCAGTTTTCAAAAATGCTTGAGTACAGCTGTTGCTGCCGAAAATCTCACAACTCGTTATTATGTTTCGGAGTCAGCTAATTTTTTTTCTGCTCATGGCTAGGTTGGTTTGAATAGTTTTTTTCTCCTAATAGATGAAATCAACATTTGAAATTGGTCCATCCATTCATCCATCCATTTTCGGCCACTTATCCGTGGTCGGGTCGCAGAGGCAGGAGGCTAAGCAGAGAGGCCCAGACTTCTCTCTCTCCAGTCACTTGGGCCAGCTGTTCCTGGGGAATCCTAAGGTATTCCCTGGCCAGCTGAGAGACATAGTCCCTCCAGCATGTCCTGGGTCTTCCTTTAGGTCTTATCTCGGTTGGACTTGCCCAGAAAACCTCACCAGGGCGTCCAGGAGGCATCTAACCAGTGTTGGGAACGTTACTTTAAAAAAGTAATTAGTTATAGTTACTGATTACTTTGTCAAAAAAGTTACTCAGTTACTAACTGAGTTACAAGATCATAAAAGTAACTAATTACCAACAAAAGTAACTACTTAGTTACTTTTTTCACTAAAGAATGCAAGAATTACTACAATAGTAAAATATAAATGACTAATGACTGGAACATAATAAAATGTATGTCCAAATGTTTTATATAAACCTGAATAATTTAAACAAATACGCACTTAACAGGAGGAACTACTAATAGGAACATTACACTAATCTAGACTACTAAAAGGTCTCTGTGTGATATTTAACAAAAACCCAATCAGCTAAAATTTAAAATTGCAAATAGAAACACCTGTAAAGGTTCCCGAGCCTTTAAATGGTCTCTCAGTCTAGTTAAATTACAGAAATAAATGTAATTTTGCACAGTATTCTAATTTTTCCAGCTTCACATAATTGTGTGTTTTTAGCAGCATTTCTGTTGCTGGTAATCTAGTAATGGTTAAATAAATAAATAAATATCCTTTAAAATGACACTAGAAGAGGCACAGATCTGATGGAGGACTTACATTTACTAACGTGGGTCAGACCCAACCACAGAAGAGCTGAAGCTGGGTGGTAAACACACACAGGTAGTTCTGATAACACCTGAGCTCCATGTCGTTTGAGACTGATGCATCAGTGTTACAGCGGGACTAAAGACATGATCAGAAACAGGTTACAGCTGGATGATCTAGGAAGGTAGAAGATCAGGACGTCTGAGCGGTGAACAGGTGAGCGGACCTTCGGGACGTCCCGCTGTCATGCTAAGGGCACGGCTGCAGACCCGCAGATTTTCTGCTGCAGCAACAAATCTGCGGGGGGTCTGCAGGCGTAGATATTCATCACGTCTTCCTCGTTCTTCACGGGCCGTGACGCACTTGGATGAAAACATCTGCCTCTTTAGCTCCTGATCAGCTGATGACAGCTTCAACACACCGCGCTGCTTCACGCACGCATTTTCTTATCAGTAACAGAAACGACGTTTTGATAAAAGAAGACGGTAATTAATTAGTTTGCTCGTTACAGAAAGAAATTTTTTTTTATTAACGCGGTTATTTTAAATGGAGTTATTCCCATTGTGTCTACAGAATGCAGCGACTGAGACCGTGAGGGTCTCCGCCCACCCGGCCAATCATCATCGTGTTTGTAAGTGTGTTACCGACACCTCTCTCTCCCTGGCTGCAGCTGAAGTGTGGCGGTCAGAAAGCCTCACGCTGCTGCTCAACATTCGGCAAGCACATAGTAACGCACAACCTTCCGTCCCCAGTAACGGTAACGGCGTTGCAACGGCGGGAAAAGTAATTAATTAGATTATTCCGTTACCTATAAAAGAACGCCGTTAGAAACGCCGTTATACTTAAACGGCGTTACTCCCAACACTGCATCTAACTATGCCCGAGCCACCTCAACTGGCTCCTTTCGATGTGGAGGAGCAGCGGGCCTACTCCCAGCCCCTCCTGTGTGATGTATTGAGATTTGTATATGCGGGCACCCGTAGCTGGGGGGTGGAGCATAAGAGGACGGTGTTCAAGATGGCTGTAACATGTGAGGCTAGGAGCAAGAGATAAAGTTGATTCACTTCATTAACGTGTGGTCCTGATTCATTTATACAACATGGTGTCAGAAGAATAAACGGAAAGAAGATGGCACAGTTTCAGCCTCCACAGAACCTCAGTTTGCAAAGCAACCTTGCAGAGAATTGGAGAACCTGGCTGCAACGCTTCGAGCTGTTCTGCACCGCCAGCGGCATAGCGGAGAAGGGGGAAAAGGTGCAATGTGCAACATTCCTACACGTGGCCGGGGAAGAAGCCATAAAAGTATGTAATACTTTTCATTTCTCTGAAGAGGAAAAAGATAAAATCGCTGTGCTAAAGAAGAAGTTTCAGGACTACTGCGAGCCAAGGAAAAATTTACCATACATCAGGCACATGTTTTTCACGAGAGCACAGAAACAAGCTGAAAGCATCGATGCATATGTAACGGAACTAAAAAATAAAGCTAAAGACTGTGAGTTTGGTGATCTACACGACTCTTTGATACGGGACAGAATAGTCTGCGGCATAATCAATGATCAAGTGAGAGGAAGGCTGCTGAGAGAAGCTGATTTGACATTGGATAAAGCTATAGATATATGCCGTGCGAGTGAGATCACAACCAGTCAAGTGAAAGCTCTTACTGAAGAAGTAGAAGTCAACAAACTGAGAACAGCAAGAACGAATGACGTAAAAAGTGCAGCGAAAACAAGGAAACCTGATCTGAACGAGACAAGTTGTAACAGATGTGGGCGGAAACATGGAAAAAACTGCCCAGCAATAGGTCAAACCTGCAGAGTGTGCAGTAAAAAGAATCATTTTGCAAGGATGTGCAGATCCACTGATCAGAGGAGGCAGCACGGGAAGAACGTTCATGCTGTCAATCAAAGTGAAAGCGAAA